AAATTCAAGCAAATACTTCAGGCATGAGAGGATATGTAAAAATTTCCTGACCCACCTCCAACTCTTCCCTGGAAATAATCACTATCAACAGGTTTTGATTCTTTCTTAAATTAACATATGACTGTTTTCATTTTTTGTTTTCTTTTGCAATCATTTTCATTGTTGTGGTCATCTTGCATTTTTGGTATTGAGATTTTCTGTGTGATCTGGTAGCTAATTTTTATTCATGTACGTTAAGTGTATAAAGATAATACAGTTTCTCTTTGTTGTGTATAAAATTCTGCATATAGTTATTTGTAAAGTGTGTTCGTTTATTCAAACCCTCTGCATCCTCACTTAATTTTTGTTTACTTTGTCAGTATCTGAAAGAGATGTTTCCAGTCTCTCACTATGATTATGAATTCATTCATTTCTCTTTATATTTCTGTCAGTTTATGCATACTATGGTTTGAAGCTACATTATTAGTTGCATAAGGATTTATAACTATTATAATCCTTGATGAATTGTAACTTTTAAAAATAAAAAACTTCTCTCAATAATTTTCACTTTGAATTCTATTTTTGTCTGATACATTTTATTAAGATTTGCTTAAAACATCTTTTTCATGTTTTGTTTTCAACTGTCCTAAAGACATTTCATTTTAAGAAGTTCTCCTATAAAGTGTGTATTCCTGGATTTGAGGTTGTATTTCTTTTTTTAGCTCAATCTGAGAGATTTTTAATAGACTTTTTTAACCCACTTTCATTTGATGTGATTACCTGATGTACTTGGATTTATTCCTGATTATCTTTTATGTTTTTATTTGCCATGCTTTCTCGTTCTTTATTTTATTTCTTTTCTGGCTTTTATTGGATTGCCTTTTTTTCTTAAGGATTTGGGAATTCTACATGATGATTCTATTTTTTTGACTGATATCCTTTAACTTAAAGTTGATTTTTTTCCATCAAAATCTAGTGCTAATCAGAAAGACATCATTCTCTTTTTTTTTAAAGATTTTATTTATTTGAGAAAAAGTGAGAGAGGTCAGGAGCAGGGGGAGGGGCAGAAAGAGAGGGTCAAGCAGACTCCCTGCTGAGCACAGAGCCCATGTGGGCTCAATCCCAGGACCCTGGGACCATGACCTGAGCCACTTAACCGGGCAGACACTTAACTGACTGAGCCACTCAGGCACCCCAGAAATACATCATTCTTCTAAATGCTTTTGGTACAAGTAGAGGGGAACTAGTGTTTGAACCTGGAGGCCCTCTTTGATGAAGACATATTTTTTGTCATTTCATTGGATTTGTGATAAGAGAAGAAATAGATCCATATATCATTTTGAACCAATCTCTATTCTTTTATTATAAGGGGAAAAGCAATTGAGAAAGCATATTTCAAAACAAAAAAGAGAGAAAGAGAAAGCAGAGGATGATGCTCAAGCAAAGGGAATGATTTGGGTGATGGGAAAATTTTAAGCATCAGAGTGAGTTGATCTGGGGGCTTGGAGACTTTCTAAGGCAACTCCAATTACCCTGTGAAGGTAAACTTCTCTTCCAAGCATAAGTTCAGCTCTGCTTGTTGTGTCTGGATTGACATTGGCTAAAGAGAAAGGAAAGCAGATAGTCTGAAGAGCCAGGTGACAAGCTTGATCTTTGACAAAAGAGTCAAGGCCAAGAGCAAGGAACCAAGTTCCATTTTGAGTGTCACCAGCAATTGCCAAGATTTGAGTCAAAGAGAAGCTGTAAGATGTTGTAAATTGTATCTGGGATTGTTTTAATCAAGGTATAGTGACTGTCATGAAGGAAGAAGTTTTTCACACACGCACCTAAAACTAGGAGACATGGCATGCCATGCAGGACCACATTGGAAGCACCAGGGTCAGTCAAGAGGGAGAGGAAGCAAGGGGGAAACGGGGTCAAGAGCCTTTACTGTGGCTTTTGCTGGGAAGGCAAAGCAAGGAAGCAGGTTTAGGAGTGGCTAGTCTGAGGCATTTGGGTGGGCTCTGGGGCATAGGAGTTGTCCCTCGTTGTCCAATACCTGGCCCTGGGGTGGTTAGGGTAAGCAGACAGTGGCCAGGAGTGCGGGAGCCACATAAAGGAGGTTGGGGTGTGGGCTTTGGATTGGTCAGATTGCTTAAGAAAGGCGTGCTTGCGGGCTGGTCTTCACTATCTCTAGATATTGGCTAGCTCTGGGAGGGGCAGTCCCTCCAGCATCAGCAAGGCCCCAGATGTCAAACATCAGAAAATAAAAAGACATGATGAATACAAAAGTCTCAGTTCAAGGTGGGAACTGAGGATCAGGAACCAGCAACAGAGTCAAAGTGCCGGCAGCCCGGAAGATAAGAAATGTTTATGTGGAGATCTACCCTTCGCCAGAGAGGACCTTGGGCCTGTTTCAAAACACTGCCCACACATGGGCTCACTGTAGCCTCTGCCGTCTGTCTGTCTTCAGGGCAACGCCTGATGTTGCTCAGAAACAGAAAATTGTGTTCCCAGCTGGAACATCTTGTCTCTCGGTTTCCCCGTAGCTCACATAACACAAAAATTAAGGGCAACGGGCTGTCCGAAGGATTTTTAAAATTAGTGAATTTACATTAAGAACTTTACAAAGACATAAAACATACATCACGTTCGACTGCTGCGTTCAGCACTTCATCTCCCTTCCAACGAATAAAATAACGATCATCTGAACTAGTCCCGAAGAAAGCCCAGACCTAACTCAGCCTGCTCCTCTGGCTACGTGGAGGTCTGGTTTCTATTAGGTGATGGACAGACCCGGCGCCCCCTGCCGATGAGCTTCGGAGGAGAAGGCAGCCACAGAGGGAAGCTGCCAGGCCAGAAGCCGGGCACACCCACAAGATGCTAATGTGCAAATCCACCACGGAGGACCAGCCCGCTTCCCTGGGCTCTCGGACTCAGCCAAGTCCCGCTGAGCTGTTAAACAGAGCCCATCAGTGGCAGGAAGCCCGGCCAGCCCAGAGCCAACAAGGCTGGTCTAATGAAAAGGCCTTCGGCTGGTAGCACCAGAGGCGACAAGTACGAGCCTCTGGGATGTCTGAGGCCTCCTCCATCCCCTTCCTCTGCGGTCTTGGCAGCCCTGACCCTGAGTTTACAATTCAGAGAGCGCTGGAGAAAGCAGAGCTCTGTCAGTTCCTTCCCAGCCTCCCCTCAGGGAGCGAGGCAACAAAGCCGGTGGCTATGCATCCTCACCCATTTTCATAACCATCAAACATTTATGCCGCCCCTCCAGGCCGGGCACTGGGCGCGGCGCAAAGCGTACAATCCAGGCTCTGCCCTCTGCAAGCTCACGGACCAGAAAGGGGATGAAGTCAGCACACAAGACCCAGGCAGACAGGGAAAGGGAGTCAGAAAGGGTCTCATGGGGAGGCAAGGAATCTCCCCTCAAACCAGCAGCGCCCTAGAGCTGGTTGGACCGGACTGTGCTGGGAGCTGCGGCAAGTACATCCTCTCTAGCCTCGGGAGTAAAGGAAGGCATGCAAACAAACACCCCCGCAGCCAGTGCTGTATGTACAGGGATCGCAGTGGGGATGAGTCACAGAAATAGCATAGTGGAGCGTTTGAGCTGGGTTTTTATTTATTTATTTTAAAGATTTCATTTATTTATCTGACAGAGAGAGACACAGCGAGAAAGGGAACACAAGCAGGGGGAGTGGGAGAGGGAGAAGCAGGCTTCCCGCTGAGCAGGGAGCGGGATGCGGGGCTCGATCCCAGGACCCTGGGATCATGACCTGAGCCGAAGGCAGATGCTTAATGACTGAGCCACCCAGGCGCCCCTTGAGCTGGGTTTTTAAATCATAGGATTTCAACAGAGCGGGGAGGAGTGAAAAATCAATGCTCCAGCAAGAGGGAGCGGCCAGGACGTTCAGGGCAAATCCAGGTTAGGTAAGCCAGAGACCAGACGTGGGAGGGGCTTGAAAGGCCTCGGTGCAGAGGATCAACTTAGGCCCTTAATCCATCAGTCATTTTTAAACATTGTGGTGAAAAGCACGTAACAGGGGCACCTGCGTGGCTCAGTCGGTTAAGCTGCTGCCTTCGGCTCAGGTCATGATCCCAGAGTCCTGGGATCGAGTCCCACATCGGGCTCTCTGCTCAGCGGGGAGCCTGCTTCTCCCTCTCCTTCTGCCTGCCGCTCTGCCTACTTGTGCTCTCTCTCTGTCAAGTAAATAAATAAAATCTTTTAAAAATATATAAATAAATAAATAATTTAAAAAAAGAAAAGCACGTAATATAAAATTTACCATCCTAACCATTTTTTTAAAGATTTTTTTTTGAAGATTTATTTATTTATTTATTTAACAGAGACACAACGAGAGAGGGAACACAAGCAGGGGGGTGGGGGAGAGGGAGAAGCAGGTTTCCCGTGGAGCAGGGAGCCCGATGCGGGGCTCGATCCCAGAACCCTGGGATCATGACCTGAGCTGAAGGCAGACGACCAATGACTGAGCCACCCAGGCGCCCCTAAAGATTTTATTTATTTGTCAGAGAGAGAGCGCGGACATGCAGGGGGAGCGGCAGGCAGAGGGAGAAGCAGGCTCCCCGCTGAGCCGGGAGCCCGATGCGGGGCTCGATCCCAGGACCCGGGATCATGACCTGAGCCCAAGGCAGATGCTTCACCGACTGAGCCACCCAGGCGCCCCATCATCGTAACCGTATTTAAGTGTACAGCTCAGTGGTGCTAAGTATATGCATGCTGTTGTGAAACACAGCTCCAGAAATTTTTCCTCTTGAAAATGTGAAACTCTGTACCTAGTAAACAAGAAATCCTCTTTCCTCCCTACCCCCTCCCCAACCCTAGGTCACTTGCATTCTACTTTCTGCCTCTATAAATGTGACTGCTCTAGGTACCTCATTTAAGTGGAATCACATAGAGTTTGCTTTTTTTGTGACTGGCTTAACTTCACTTAACATACTATCTTTAAGATTCATCCACATTGTAACATGTGACAGGATTTCCTTCCTTTTTAAGGCTGAAAAAAATTTCATTATCGGTACAGACCACATTTTGTTTACCTATTTGTCTGTTTTTTGTTTTGTTTTGTTTTGTTTAAGATTTTTATTTATTTATTTGACAGAGAGAGAATGAGAGAGAGAGCACATGAGAGTGGGGAGGGTCAGAGGGAGAAGCAGACTCCCCGCCGAGCAAGGAGCCCGATGTGGGACTCGATCCCGGGACTCCAGGATCATGACCTGAGCCGAAGGCAGTCGCTTAACCAACTGAGCCACCCAGCGCCCTACCTATTTGTCTGTTGATAAACACTTGTGTTACTTCCGCCCTTTGGCTATCATGAATAATGCTGCCACGAACATGGGTGTGCAAATATCTCTTTGAGTCCCTGCTTTTAAGTCTTTGGCATATATACCCAGAGGCAGGATTGCTGCATCATACCGAAGTTCTAGCTTTAAGTTTTTGAGGAATCACCACAGTGTTTTCCATAGTGGCTGTGCCATGGTGCTTTCCCACCCACTGTGCATGAGGCTTCCGATTTCTCCACATCCTCGCCAGCTTTGTTACTTTCTGTTTTTGATAGTAGACATCCTTGTGTGTCTGAGCATCGTTAGTCATTTCGGAGTAGAGGCATGATGAACCGGAGCTGCCCGTCGGCAGGAAAAAAGTCAAGAGGCAGAAGATGGTCAAGGCTTTGGCAGTGGTCAGACTAAAGGGAGGGACTCCTGTTGAGGTGTGGCGGCAGAAGAAACCAGGGCTACCAAAGAAAAGAAGTAGCCAGACAAAGGGCAGGAGAGGGGATGCCCGAGAGAGGGAGGAGCTAAATGGGGCTCGAGTTGCAAGCAAAAAGACTGAGAAAATAGCAATACAGTGAGGAAAAGTGGGAAGTTGGGAGAGGGTGCTGCTTTTGGGGAGGTGCTGAGATGTGAGAGGTGCCTGCAGCTGACAGGTTAGTTGCCGATGCAAGACTGGTGTCCCAAAGAGAGTCCAGGGCTAGATCCAATAATGGTATTCATTCGTACAGCACTTTTATTTACGTGAGCCCCTCGATGCTCATGACACCTGGTAAGGTCAGTCCAAGCAGGTGTCATTTCCATCAGCTGAGCGATAAAAAACCAGGAAGTACAAGGGACAAGCCAAGGACACTCGCATGTCAGACAACAATCAGACAAGCTCTGAGTCTGCTTCTGGTCGAGTGGCCTCTTCTTTTCCTGAGCTAAGACTTGCCTAGGAGTGCACGGAGGGCCCGATCAGCGGAAGACACGTTCGCTCATTGGACAAATTTTGAGTGCCAGGTGCTGGAGATTCACTAGTTAATAAAACAGACAGAATAGACACAATCCTGCCATCATGGAGCCTATATTCTTGTAGATGGTGGAACAATCCAGCTGGCCTTTCGGCAGTTTTCTGAGAAGCCCAAAGAATTCCCCCAGGAGAAGTGTCCCAAGGCAAATCTGTGTCTTGAAGAGAAAGATGGTCTGCTCCGTCTGTCACGTTAACTCAAGTTGGACCCACTTGCGGTCTTGACAGACCATACTCAGGACAACAGCAAAGGAGAGCACTACCTAGAATAAGCTCATAAAGTAGTCAGGCACAAAGAGTACTTAGAGTTGACTTTTAGGGAAAACATTTCTTTCTCCCTATTTTCTTTCCCTTTTACTTGAAACCCATCAGCCAGAAGTCTGTCTTCCTCACTAAATACCAATAATCCATGTCTACAAAGGAGGTTTCCAGTATACCCATATTTATAGCTGCATTATTTATAATAGCCAAAAGGCGGAAAGAACCCAAGTTTCCATCAACACTAAATGGATAAACAAAATGTGGTCTATAAGTACAATGGAATATTATTCAACTTTACAAAGGAAGGAAGGAAATGCTGTCACATGCCACAACACAGATGAACCTTGAAGACATCGTGCTAAGTGAAATAAGCCAGGCACAAAACGACACATATTGTATGATTCCACTATGTACGTATGGAGGGTTCCGTGTACCCAGAGTCGACAAAGTCATAGAGACAGAAAGTAGAACAATACTCCCCGGGGTCTGGGGAGGGAAAGGGGAAACGGGAGTTGTAATGGGTACAGATTTTCAGCTTAAGAGAATGACGAGAGATTCCTGGAGATGGGTGGTGGTGTTCGCTGCACAATATTATGAATGTACTTACTGCCACAGAACCATACCCTTAAAATGGTTAGAATCCGTTTTACCCTGCTGCCAGTAGAATAGTCAGTACATCTTCCCCATCTCGTCCTTGTCATCATCTTTAATCAGAGGGGCTGACTAGACGCTTCTCGGTGTACGATCTAATGTTTCCATGGTAACCACTGTAAGGCAGATAGATGCCTGGTGGGCACGATCTCACCAGCAGATCAACAGGGTTCACCCGACTGGCCTCTCTCCCCTGCGCTCCACTCTGTAAGCTGCTCCATGGAGAGCGAAAAATCGGTGTCACATCGTGTGCCTCTCTGCATCTCATACCATCTTCAGCCACTCTGGGGCTCGATTCTTCGAGCATTCCAGTCGATAATTTGCTCCCAGCCAGCCACACATGCTCTTCTTCCCACTGCAGAACATCTTCTCCTTCTGCTTCTTCCCCACTCCCCCACCTTGTTCCTTTGCTAGCTCTTCCTCCTCCTCAGAATTCTTCAGGGCTCCGATGAGATGCCTCTTCCTCCAGGAAGCCTTCTTGTCCTGAATGCCCAGATGATGTTATATCTTCTGTTTTGTGCTCCTGTGGGGGGAAAAAAAAAAAAAGCCACAGTGAGAGTGAGAAAAATTAGGCAGCAGGAGAGGGGAGTCATCCCAGATGCCTTTTATTTAGACAAAAACCTGTGAACATAATGGACTTTGGATTCAGAAGCCATCGGACTGGAAACCCTAGATGTCCTGCTCACGAGCTGTGGTACCATAAGCAAGCTACTTAAACTACTCCAAGTCCCTTTCCTCTTATGTAAAGCTGGGATCAAATGTCCTAACTTTCCAGGGTGCCAAAAAGGTGAGGGGGGCGGAGAGTGGAATATCCCAACTGTTCTTGTCTTGGGTCACTCCTCACTGGTTAAACGTCCTCGCCAACTCCCAGATTCCCACCTGCCCAGACTCTACTCCCCCTCCAGCCCACTTCTCAGGTTGCCGTTGGAACATCTTTCTAAACTGCACATGTGGGGTGCCTGGGTGGTGCAGTTGGTTAAGCTTCCGACTCTTGATGTAGGCTCAGGTCATGATCTCAGGGTCATGGGATCGAGCCCCACATGGGGCTCTGTGCTCAGCACAGAGTCTGCTTGGGATTCTCTCTCTCTCTCTCCCTCTGCCCCTCCTCCTGCTCACTCTAAATAAATAAATAAATAAATAAATCTTTAAAAAAAATAAACTGCACATGTGACAACCCTCTGCTTGCCTGTAGTTCTTCTCCATTGACTTCAAGAGAAAATCCACATTCATAGTTGGTCCCTGGTTTCTCTCTCTGGTCCTCCTGTCTCACTACTGCCCCCATGCCCTGAGTTCCAGCCACACCGAGTTCCAGCCTCAGGCTCTTTTGAGGCCCGTGAGTCTTCCCACACATTTCCTCCTTCTTAGGAAAGACCCTCTCCTATCCCGCATTCTGCCTGACCAGGTAGCTTCCCTTCATTCCCAGGTAGCTTCTGCAGTGAAGCCTCACCTCACCACCACTACTTGCATGTGCAGCCCCATCTTGCGCCCCTGGGGAAGCCTACGATTTTCCTGCCCCTTACTCATTGCATTTTTTCTGTGCATTAATTTTGTTTTGATTTTGGCTTTAACAACTTTACTAATGTGCAATTGACATGTAATAAGCTGTACATACACAAGTGTATAACCTGGTAAGTTTTGACCTATGTAAACACCCATGAAAGAATGACCACAATCAAGATAAAGGATTTATCTATGTTCCCCCCAAATTTCCTGGTCCCCCCTGATAATCTCTTCTTCCTGCCCTCCCTGACCTCTCTCTCATTTGCAGGCAACCACTGATTAACTATCACCATATATTAGTTAACATTTTCTAGAATTTTATATAAATGTAATCATACAGTATATACTCTCTTTTGCCTGGTTTTGCCCAGCACAATTATTTTGAGATTCATCCATGTAGTACCAATGGTTCATTCTTTTTCTTTTATTGTCGAGTAGTATTCTATTGTATGCATATAACACAGTTTGTTTATCCATGTATCTGTTGATGGACATTTGTATTGTTTCCTGTTTGTATGAACGTATGCTTTCATTTCTCCTAGGTAAATCTGTAGGAGTGCAATGGCTGGATCATGTAACAGGATATATGTCTAACTTTTAAAGATTTCATTTATTGGGGCACCTGGGTGGCTCAGTCGTTAGACGTCTGCCTTCAGCTCAGGTCATGATCCTGGGGTCCTGGGATCAAGCCCCGTATCAGGCTCCCTGCTCCTCGGGAAGCCCGCTTCTCCTTCTTCCACTCCCCCTGCTTGTGTTCCCTCTCTCACTGTGTCTCTCTCTGTCAAATAAATAAATAAAATCTTAAAAAAAAATCTTAAAAAAAAAGATTTCATTTATTTATTTGACAGAGAGATAGAGAGAGAGCAGAAGTAGGCGGAGTGGCAGGCAGAGGGCGAGGGAGAAGCAGGCTGCCTACTGAGCAGGGAGCCTGACACAGGGCTCAATCCCAGACCCTGGGATCATGACCTGAGCCGAAGGCAGACGCTCAACTGACTGAGCCACCCAGGCACCCCTACGTCTTTTTTTTTTTTTTAATTTTTTAAAATTTATTTTTATTTTTTTTACTTCTAACTTTTTAAAACAAACTGCCAAACTGTTTTCCAAAGTGGTTGCACCATTTCACATTCTCACCACAAGTGTATGAGAATTCCATTTGCTCTCCATCCACGTCAACACTGGGTATGGTCAATCTCTTCAATTTTAACCACTTTGGTGTGTCATGTTGTATTATTCTGGTTTTAAGTTATATTTTCCTAATGACTAATGATGTTGAGCCTCTTTCCACATGCTTATCTGTTACCCATACATCTTGGTTACTGATGTGTCTGTTCAAAAAGTTTTTAAAAGAAAACAAATTGTAAAAGCTAAGCCTGTTACGTAAATTTTTTTCCATGAATTTAATTTCTATGCTTTATTCCACTACCTAAAGTTATCATTTTTTCACACTTGAAAAAATTGTGGTAAAACATACACAACATAAAACTTACATTTTCACTGTTTTTAACTGTATGGTTCAGTGGTACTAAGTACACAGTCATTATCATGCAATGGTCACCACCACCACCCATCTTCAGAAATTTTGTCATCATTCCAAATTGAAACTCTGGATCCAGTAAACACCAACTCTCCACTCCTCCCCTCACCCCAGCCCCTGGCAACCACGATTCTACTTTGTGTCTCTCTGAATTTGGCCACTCTAGGTACAGTATCTGTTCTTTGGTGACTGGCTTATTTCACTCAGTACAATGTCCTCAAGGTTTGTCCATGTTGCAGGCTGTGTCAGAATTTTCTTCCTTCTTTACAGCTGAATAATATTCTTTTGTATGTATATACATTTTGTTTATCCACTATCCATCAGTGGACACTTGGGTGGCTTCTAGCTTTTGGGCTATTGTCAATAATACTGTTACAAACATGGGTGTACAGATATCTGAATCCGTTATTAATTGCATTTTTTATTTTACAGTATATTTTTTTAACCAAGTGCATTTTTTAAAAGATTTATTTATTTATTTGAGAGAGAGAGGGAGCGAGCGAGTGAGCATGAGTGGGAGGAGGGGCAGAGGGAAAGAATCTTCCAGCAGACTCCCCAGTGGAGCAGGGAGCCCAGCGCAGAGCTCAATTTCATGACCCATATGGTCATGACCTGAGCCAAAACCAAGAGTCGGACGCTTAACCAACTGAGCCACTCTGGTGCCCCTAATCGCTTGCATTTTAATGGTTGCATCCCATTGCCTACCACAGGGCCTGACAAATAGCGAGCATTTAATAAATATATGTGGAATTAATAGCCGAATGAATGAGTGAGTGAGTGAGTGAGTGAGTGAGTGAGTGAATATATGAGTGATTCCCACACTGGACGCCAGCTCACGCACAGCTACATCATTCGTCCTGTAGGTGTCAGTCACGGCGTCCTAACGTCAGGCTGCTGCGTCTGGGAAGGAACTGATCTCTGAATCCCTTCCAAGAGGTGAAGAAAACACTTGCCTGATTTGGTTGGTCACCCTCGCCACCACTGTTGCCCCACGGGAGGCCCAGCTGCCTGAAGTCTCTGCGTTGGTCCCAGGCTACTAACTCAGGGGGAGGCCTAGTTGTGGCTACTCCGAGACGAGCTCTCTCCTCTGAGACATCTCGGGAACCACTCACCGCATTCCTTCCCGTGAGATCACAACAATATCAACAGCTCACATATTTGTGCGCTTACTCTGTGTCAGGTGCCCCAGAAGCAGCGTCTCATTTAAAGGATTAATAACCCCGAATTAGGCACTGTAAGACTCCTCACTTTATAAAACAAACAAAAAGGCACAGAGAAGTTTAATGAACTTGCCCATGGTCATGTAGCTGCGAAATGGAAGAGCCAGGATCCGAATCCAGGTGCTCTTCCCCAGAACCTACCAGGCAGAAGGAAAAAAAAACACAACCAACCACTCAGGCTGAAAGCAGTTTTCAATTAGTTATGTTGAAATTAACCAGAGTCATCCTAAAATAATTTTTTTCTAAGTTTGAATAATATTTATTGACTATATTTTGGAAAACACATTAAAAAAACTTTAAGTCACATAAGCCCACCAAAAAAAGATCATCACTCTCAACACATTAACATGTTTCCTCCCAGTGTTTTCTCCTTACTTATGTATTTTAATTCAGATGACATTAATGAGTGTCTCCATTCTCTTGAGAAAGAGGCATTAGTCCTCTCTTGATGCATCTGCCATTCGTACCCGCTCCTCCTGCCTTCTCTCTGTGCGTCTCTAATGTGTCCCTGCCAAATGATGCAGTACAAAATGAAAATGTTAATGTATAGTAACAATGATGGCAGTTGACAGTGAGTGGCCACCAAGAGCCAGGCCCTGTGCTGAGGAGGCACCTCACATACGTTATCTCCTGTGGTTCTCGCGGCAACCATATTAGGTGGGAGCCATTATTTTTTATTGTTATGTTAATCACCATACATTACATCATTAGTTTTTGATGTAGTGTTCCATGATTCATTGTTTGTGCATAACACCCAGTGCTCCATGCAGAACGTGCCCTCCTCAATACCCATCACCAGGCTAACCCATCCTCCCACCGTCCTCCCCTCTAGAACCCTCAGTTTGTTTTTCAGAGTCCATCGTCTCTCATGGTTCGTCTCGGTGGGAGCCATTATTCTTCTCATTTTACTGATGAGGAATCTGAGACTTAACATGTAACATGTGGCTCTTCCTCTTTCCTTCCTTTCCTGAAGAACTCAGTCCTAACACCACTGTGTCCACACACTGGGTGGTAAGGGGTCGAGACTGGGGTGTCAGAGCCCCCACCTTACCCCAAGCAGTTGAAGAACATGTCTGCATGTCTGCATGAAGGTAAAAGGGCTTCTTGGTATAGGGGGGGACTCAGTGTGGGGTATGAGGCCCTGAACAGGGTGAAGAAAGCCAACGGTGGTGTGGGAGGGTGCCTCTGTGGGGGGGGGGGGGGCGGGCAGGTGTGGCAGAACCTGAGCAGATGGAAGATGGAGTCCTCATGGGTAGCATGGGGTATGAG